ATAGTCACATTGCTTTCATCATCGTCATATTTAACAATAGCACCTTCACTTGTAATAAGGCGTACTAAAAACAATATGATTGAGGACATAAAATATAAGTATAACAATTATTTTTATATACCGTTTTTTCGGAGAAGTGGATCACGCTTTAAATCAACAACATGTTCAGATGAACGCAAATGTACCTCTACAAACAAGATAATTTTTTTAATGCTTAATTTATAGGTTTTGCCATACATACCATAACACGATTTATTGGGACTATGTTTATATACGTTATCCTTATTGATTGTAGGAGTATTCTTTGATTTTGCACTTCCTTGATTTTGCAAACATATATTCTCTTCGTCGCTTACTTGTTCTGTAGTTGTTGATTGTTTCATGGATTTATGGCCATCAGTTTGCTGATGTTCATTTTGTTGTTGCCTTTCATCACTTGAAGAATAATAGTCTGTTGTGCTTACGTCTGTAAAAGAGGAATATGCAATAATTTATTATAGAAATGAATGCAATATCGAAAATTTTAAATGAATCCGTTTTTGGAGGCAATCTAAATAATATATTTATACACAAACATAAAAAAATTATGTTTATTTACCGTCTAAATCTACGCTTTTGTTATTTGGCGCCTGTTTAACTTCATCGCCTGTTCCGATATTTGAGGCATCAATTTTCTTTATCTTCTCGGGTGTTGTCATAGTGTCTTCATCTTCTTTTTCTTTAGAATCGTTTTTACAAGGTCTCTTTTGTCCTGTAAAGGTCAAGTGAGTGTGTTATAGATATTCTATTTGAATACAATTATTTTATTGATTAATAACAACTTATCGTTATACCTCTTTGGCATTTGTTGTTGGCAGTTACATCGTTTTGTGTTTGACTTGTCTCGTTACTGTGTATATCAAAGGATACACGGCGCTTGACATTTGATTTTGTTATGGTAATATTTCTAGTCGTTTTTAATCGTTTAATTTTTGGCAGACCTGCTGCAATCTTTACAGTGACCACTTTTTTGCGTTCGTCCTTTCGTTTGGAGTTTTGGTCAATGCTACTGGAATGATTTTCTTCAAAAGAAAATTCAATGTCTCTACTAGATTTCTGATTATCATTGCTTTTAGCTTCTTCGGAGTATAATGCTGACATCATTGCTTCTACATTACCATCCGAAAATTTGAATTCGCCTTGGGTATGATTTTCATCATCCTTCATAATATGTACATGTTTGGAATTTGTTAAATCTTTCTCTTTTGAATTCTTCAATTCATTATTGTTTTTTGAATTATATCCTGTTTTATGAATTTTTAGCTTTCTTGGCTTATAATCTTTTGCTAGTAATGGTATGTTTACATCAGTTTGTTGAATTTGAGAGACTGAAATTTCTTTTATAGATTCTGGTGGCAAATAAGTTTTTTCAGTAGTCGCTGGAGTAGTATGTGTTTCCGGATTATTTTCCGTATATTGGGAAATATTTTCATATGGTGGAGATGCTATGTCTTCGATAATTTCTTGCGTTTTTTCTTGTTCTTTTGAATCATCTAGAGTATCGATGTCTTTCTTTTCAGTGGGAGTAATTGAACAGTCTATTACATGATCAATATTTTCACATACATCTATGTTTATATTGGTTTCATCGTTTGTACTATTTAGTTGGGCTAATATATTGGAATCCATGTCTATTTGGGGCGAAGTTGATATTACAACAATACAATCATTATCATTATTATTGGTCATTTCATTTTCACTTGGACTTGGTGAGACAACTAATACATGTTCATTTTCTATAAAGTCATACATCTCTTTTGAATTATCTGCTGATTCTGTTGCATTGGGTACAATAGTCTCGGATACATATTCGGGTATATGTAACTGATCATCATTTTCTTTGCTACAAGTAATGTTAGAATTGTCCTCATGTAACAAAATGCAATCGTTATCATTATTACATAATACGTCAGTTGTTGAATGACTTTCATTGTTGTTCTCTTTATTGTTCATTAGCTGATCATATAGGTTCATTAATTTTAATGCTCTAACTTTGGCAGGTATAGACTTGTCTTGAAACATTTTTATATACGATTCTTCTATAAATTTATATGTTTCTTCATATTCATGTTGTTCTGGGTTATTGTTTGCGACTGTCATTTCTTTTATCTGTAGGAAAATGTGGAACAAGTATCAAATGAAAGGAAAATAATAAGGAACATAGAGTAATGGGATAGAACAACTATTTAATGTTTTTTGATACAGTTTAAACGTGAAATCGTATAGAAAATAAAAATCGATTCAACCATGAATATATGTACTTACATTATTAATGTTAATTTCCATTGGATTTTCATCAATTACTAATCGTGAGTCATCGTCATCAATTTCAATAATTTCCTCGGGTGATCTTATCAAATTGTTACTATCAACTGTTGTATCGTTTAAATAAAAGCCTTTCTTTATGTTGACTGCTTGTATTAAATCAAAAATATAATTGCCTTGAATTATGTCCAGTTGATGCAATTGCTTTAAACTAAGGCACATTAACTGATCTCTAGTGGTTATTCTATAGCTATACAACAACTTGCGCTGTTGAGATGTTAAAAAATTTAATTCTGGTAAACTTGAATTATCTGACTGAACTGTTTCGTTCTCGGCAAGTTTTCTTGGTTGATGAAATGGTTGATCGGCATTCGCCTCGTTATGTGATATATTCAATAAACTAGGACATGACATTTTTACAGTTGCTTCAGTTTGTGTGGAACGTGACGTGGTCTGCATCAAAAGTGGAAAATTATAATTTAACATTGGCTGTATGAAAATTTACTTACGTCTGTGTTTACTTTTTTCCTCGCTATTCGTTTACACCCAACACGTCTCTTAGTTTTGTCGTTTGGTTCAAGTTTCACTTTGAAATTTTTTATGTTCCTTAATTTTTCCAATTTCCCTTTAGAGTTTTTTATATTCTTGTTTGGTGTTTCTGGCACTGCAAATGTTCGCTGATCCACAGCAACTTCAGAACTACCAGGTTCAATTGACCCAGGCATATTATCGATAACTTTTGACTTCTTATTGCAACGCTTGGATCCTGCTGTAAGATATATTTTTTAGTGAATATTGCTTTTTAAAATTTCTTAGTTTATTCTCTGGCAGAGATTAAGAATGAGTAAATTATTCTTCATTTTCCATCTGCAAAAAAGTTATTCATGCCGTCGTCAAGAAATCTAAGCCTGTCTTCGTGTTTTACACATTTCACAATCCCAATCCCTATATGTGTGTACAATACAATTGCTTTGTTGCTATTCCAGCTATTGTTGGAATTGTTCATCGTCGTAGTTTTGTGCTTACCTTTCACATTTTGTTTATTCACATTTAATAAACAACTTGAAGTGGCTCCGTATATAACATGTACATCTACATCCATTGTCGATGGATTTGCTTCGCTTGTGGAAGTAGTAACCTGCTGGGTCATAAAGGAAGTATCGGTTTTTACAAAAGTACAACACGAAGATAGTGAACGCTGACGACGACCGACCACAACAGTAGATTCCTTATTATGACTATCTGAATTCTCCGAATATCTTCTTTCCACGACTGAAGATCTGGTTCTAGTTTTCGAATATTTTATTTTCGTTGGTGTTTCGATGGCATCCAAATCGGTGGAGTATGGTGAATTGATAGACTTGGGAGACTTTGTTTTTGTTGGTGTTCCAGCGGAGCTGGAATTTAAGGATAAACTTCTACTGCGTAGTTGGCGAACCTCAGAATTCAGAACTTGATGATCCGCTTCCAGTGCAACACCCAAATCCGTCTGTGGCGACGACATCGTCTCCGTTCTTCTACACTTTTCACACAAACTTAAGTTTTTAAATATTTACTTTGTTATTTTACCAGAAAATTAAATCAATGAAAGGAGTGAAAACGACGCCAGTTCATTGGGAAAATAACGGAACTTTGATGAATGTTACCAGATCTGTCATGTTCAATTACTGCACATGCAAGAACATTATATGGAGCGCCAATCAATTTGTTTGGATATTACATTCAAAATTTTGTTAATAGGTATGTTCGTTTACTCAAGAATATGTGCTTGTTCATGCATGCAAGCAACAAAAGTTTTTAGAGCTCATATTTAATACACATCTAGTATATATTTTTTTGGAATGCATATGTCATTCCATACGTGTACAGTACCCATATGTGTGTACAGCACAAATTATGTAAATCGTTTCGTAATCGAATTGCACCATCAGAATTATTTTTGATTTGTTTTTTTCGACGTTCCCACGACGTTAAATGCCAGTTGTTAAGATTTCATTTTTTTTGGCCATATGTCAAAAAAAAATTTCTCGAGAACAGAACGAATAAAGTTAAAGTACGTTAAGATCTTCAAAATCCGTTCGATCTCAAATGTCAAAGGAAACGAATAGTTTTGGAGCTTAGTTAAAATCTGATAATGGACGACATACTTCACAAGAAAAATCAAAAAATCAAAATAGTTGAGGACAAAAAGTGTACATTACTAAGTTGTGTCCAATTATTTAAATCGCTTGTATTCGAATTGTACGAATAGTATCCTCAAAATTATTTTTGAATCTTGTAAAAATAATCCCAAAGAATAATATAAAGGCATTTATTGTTTTCACTTTTTTCGATATTGGATTTTTTTTTTCAGAGAGAAAGTACTGTATTTCCCGAATCCAAGAATATACTGACTTTTGTACGTATCCTATGTGGGAAAGTTGCATTAAACCTGTGCACAGAAAATAGTTCTATAAGGGGTTAAGAGTAAAATATCTCAGCAAAAGTAACTGAGTAATTTGAAATGGAAGAGTAAATGAACACACCTAATGTTTCAGAAGCTGCATTAATCACCATTAATTACCCACCATTTCGATTGAACTCGTTTCTAATGATTGCCAAAAATATTAAATTTTTTAACAAATCATTCAATCTTCTCATTTTTATTTTTTCGAAATGAAACAAAAAAAAAAAATGAACTGAAGACGCTTTATTTTAATCCTTATATTTAGCTTAATTTCATTTTCTTTCTTTTCAATAAATTAAAACTACCATATGAGGTATAATTGTCAGTAAGGAATGGTATATAAAATGCTCGATAAATTCGATGCGATTTATCTTGTATTAAAAATGGCAAACTTTTCATTATTGTCCAATCTTTGGTTCGTTTTGAATAACTAGGCTCCAGCTCGGTATATTTGCCCTCATCAAAATCAATTAAGAAATGACAATCCTCATATGGGAAATACATGCGATCGTCCTCTTGATTCATATCATTAAAATATGGATGGATAATTTTGGTGGCATTTTCACCTTCAGCATAATAAGCCGGCAGCATACCTTTAAATTCCGATTTCAAAAAACGAAGTCGGAAATTCGGTGCAGGAAAGAAGAAACTTCCAGGATAACGGTACCAATCTTTACCTATACATACATTATATATTTGGTTCTCTCTATATTCATTGGACGTTTTAAATTGACCTAATTCCATCATTAGATCCATGGGAGCGTGATAGTTTCGATACAAGGCAAATACTCGCGATAAGCCGGCAACGGTACTTATAATCATTATAATTATGGCAATGAACATTGTATGGTCCAAATAATGTGTTGCTGTGCTGGAGTTTTTCATTTTAACCACCAATGTTTTCAGGCGGAAAAATATGCGCTGGAAAACATCGACGGTTATTGCACCGCATAACGATATTAATGGATATACAGGGAAAAGAAATCTCTCCTCCTTATGTGGTTGGGCAAAAAACACCAGTAGCCATAGATAAAATGGTGCCAGTGTTATGTAGCGGGGAAAGTTTAACGTAGAACTAGATTTGGCTGGTACCACAAAGTAATCGATGATTAGCATTATTGGTGTAATCAAAGCTAGAATCTGAAAATATAAATAGAGATATATACACAAATCTCTCCAAATTCACTTTGTATATACTTAAACACATACCCAAACAATGTTGAAATTCAAAAATCCATTGATCAAATAATAGCTAAGAGGTTCAGTACCAAATATGTTGGGTCCATGACTGGTAAATACGTTGTACAAAACAATATTCAATGGTGCAAATGTTATTTTGCCAAAATATGAGGAGTCAATCACTATCATAGGTATAGCAATAGTCACGAAAGAAATACCAGCCCATAAAAAGAACGTACGGAACATTCTTTGGCGTACTAACATATCCAAAGCGATGGGTACTCCAATAATTCCAGAAAATGGCCAACCCAATAAGGCTGCTATGGCAACAAAGAAGATTGCCAGAGGGTATTTCTTAGTCCACCAAGCTGCCAATGCTGAGCAACCGAAGTACATTGCAAATGATGAAGGCAATAGTGCGGTACTAGATATAAACATGCCAACACTAAACAGTTGGAAAATAAGCCAAAGACGACCAATATGTATACCAAATTCCTGACAAATGGATCTGCAAGTATCCTATTGTAATGAAATTGATTTTAAGATTGCATTTATCGTTCTTACTTACTTGTACATAAACCTTTCCATAACTGCACAGCCAAAACCCAACATACAACGGATCATGTAGAATATTAGAACCGGGCTTGGGTGGAAAAGCTTTTGATAAATCCATCCTGGAACACCTTGTAGCAATAAATACGTGTACGAACGTAAAGCAAACTGTGGGCTATATTCCCACGTCTGCAAACCATGACCATTTATAATGTAATTTAGCGGTTCCCAATAGTTGTATGTCTCATCGCAGTCGGAGATATAGGCCCAGATGGCACTGCATAAACGTGCACTGACAAAAGTCTTAAATGCCACAGACGGCACAACATTTGATTTATCCGATATGGATGTATTTTCACTGACTGATGATTTCTTTAAGGTGCTAATTATGGTGATAATGATATAGATAAGAAGGGCGATGAAATCGGTTTTGGAATACGTGTGCTCTCAGCCTTACCTTAACTTTTTATTTTCATTCCTTGACACTCCTGCACTTGCTAGCTTCTTTGGAGGTTTCCTGGGTATTGAATTGGCATTGTACCTTTGCCTTGCCGGTGCCATCCTTCATTGGGTTGATAGGGATATGTACGTCGACTTTTGTCTCGCATGGTAGTCACCTATAGTCCAATAATTGCGATTCTGATGAAACCGTTCGATTTCTTAAATCGATTAATGGGCACGATTTTCCGTTAAAACAATCTTGCATTTCAAAAGTAGCCCTTCTTTGTATAATGTTTTCCAACATCATCATGTCCAACAAAATATTAAAGAAATATCTTAAATTTTGGTTGAACGAGCCTCGATAAATATAAGAAATATAAAGATTGCGATATGAAGGTGTTGGTTGGGTAATCGTACTTTTATACTATTCGCCATGGGTATTCGTCATGAGAGTTTTTTTTTCTCTCATTGGTAAATTGAGAGTAGAGTTGGAAAATATTGTCAAAGGTACAAATAGTACGATTCATCATGAATGATTCATTTTAGTTTGTGTGGCGTGGCCGTACATTGCTTTACACATTGAAATAAAAATGTCAATATTTATAAAAGGGCTAGCAAAGTGCCCGCTACTTCGTATACGAAAAGGGAATACTAAAAAAAAAAAAAAACAATATTTCATATGAAAATCGTGAATACTGTATAATTTGCTGTACTATAGTCCTGAATTCCACCCCTACTCCTACATCGAATAACAAGTTTACTAACATTTAGAACTCTTCATACACATAAGCACAATTTTCCGAAAACTCTTTCTTATTTCCATTACACGGATTAAAAATAGATTAGAATTTCAATTATATATTTTAGCTCAATAACACACTTCAACAGTAATCTAAATTCCAAATCTCAGGATTCAACCAAATCCAAAATATTCTAAATTTTGAACCATTTAGTACTGTTCATACTCATAAGAAATAATTTTTTAAACTACATCAATCCTACACGCCAACAGTAATCTTATTTACACCAAAGTCCAAATTGTACCAATTTTAGCACTTTTCGTACTTAAAAGTACAAATTTCCAAATGTACCCCAATCCTGCATTCAAATAGAATTTAAAAATTCCAGCTCTGTCTGTTCATTAATTTTAACAAATTTGATACCATTCTGTAGTTCGGTCTATCCGTTCACCAACATCCAAATTGTACCAAATTTAGTACCGTTTATTACTTTTCGTCGACGTAAGTACGAGTTTTCATCAATTTTATACTGCAACAGTAATTTTAATCATAAATTTCAGCATCGCAGCAATATCTGTTCACATAGATCCAAATTGTAGCAGATATAGTACTTTTCGTCCTTTGAGTTCAAATTTCCAACACTGTGTAAATCCTGTGCTATAACAGTAACTTAATTTTCAAATATAATTTGTCCATCTCTATCCTTTCACTCAAATCTAAATTGTACTAAAGTTAGTACCATTTAGAACACATAATTAAGCATTTACCAAACTACATCCATATCTCATCCTACACTCCAACCTTAATGTTATTTCAAAACTCCCGCTCACACAAAACGTATTGTACAATATTTAGTACCGTTTAGTGCTTCTCATATCCATAAAGACGAAATTCCAATACTACATCAATTATGTAATTTTCATTCCAAATTTAAATTTTCCATCTCTATGCGTTCACTCAAATATAAATTGTACCAAATTTTTTACCATTTAGTATGCATAACGACGAATTTTCAAAACTCCCGACATTTCAGAATCTCAGCCCTATCCATTCACACAAAAAACAATTTGTAAACTATTTGGTACCAATTAGTATTTTTTGTTTCTATAATTAAGAATTTCCTAAACTACGACAATCCTACACTCCAACAGTAATTTTAATTCCAGCTCTATCCTTTCACACATTATCAAGTTGTACCAAATATAGTATCATTAAGTACACATAAGTGCTATGCTTCCATATCTCAATTCTATATTCCAACAGCAACAATTATTCGAAATTTTAGGTTTTCAGAATTCTTCGTTCACCCAAATTCAAATTGTACCACATCTAGTGCCGTCTAGTACTTTTCGTACACACAAATACGAATTTCTAAAAATGTCTCTATAGCTCAATCTTCAACAGTAATCCTAATTCCAAATTTCAGGTTTTCAGCTCTATCCTTTCAAGCTGAATACAAATTGTACTAAATCTAGAACCGTATAGTAAGTACGAATTTCCTAAACTACCTCCAGCTCTATATGTTCATTTGCACCAAATTTAGTACGCTTTAGTACTTTTTGTACACATAAGTGCGATTTTTTAAATGTAACCAAATATAAATAAAAAATCGTTTATAGAAGATTCGTATAGATTCTAGAAAAGAATACAAAGTATGTTACGTATTTCTTCAATCAATTTTAAGTTTTTGTTGGGATAGCAAATTCAAAGTTAAAAACTAAAACTTTTTGAATTGGGAAAAACGATACAAAAAGTTAACCGATACCAAAAATATTCCATAAATATATTACAAAGAATTAAACATGATTTATTTACAAACGCATTTTATTTACATTCATAACAATTGAAATTTCATTTCATTTCTTGAACTTTTGTAGTTGTGGTGCAGATAATTTAACTTTGCCTGGTATATTGCGAGCTAAGGCCTCTTCTTTTATGCTCTTAAGTAAATCCTTTTCGCGATTGGTGCACATTTTATCCTTTCCAAACATGGTAAGGGCAGTTTTAGCCGCCCGGCCACGTTTACCCGTACCCGGTGTAAGTTTTACTTTATATTTATAATTTTGTATAGATTGATAGGGTGCAATCATCGGTATTACAAACAGTAATTCGTCATCCTCATAGGGTTGGCCCGTTAACGAATCAATCATATCCACATCAGCGCCAGTATTTTTATCATCGCCATCATCATCGTCGTTATTTTCTTGCGTTGGTTTCGGCTCAAAGTTTTGTTGTTTGGGTTTTGCATTTTTTAAAGCTAGAGCACATTCTTCTAATTTTGGATCAGATGAAGGGGCATTAGTTTTCTTGCCAGCCGATTTAAGAATCTCCATACGGAGTTGACGTTCCTCTTCGTCCTGATCCTTGTATTTTGATTTAATTTTCTTAAGTTTTCCCTTTTGGCCACGTTTAGCCTGATTATTGCGATTATCCGCAGTTTCGGAAGACTGCGTTTGTATCTGTTGTTGTTGTGTTTTACGTTCCTTTTCTTCTTTGCGTTTCTTGGCATTCATTTGCTGCTTTTTACGAGATGGGACAGCTGCAATAATTGTCGCCTCTTCCTCCTCGTCCTTCTGCTCCTTGGAAGTTGCTTGTTCTTTCCGATTTTTCTCCTCGTTTACATTTGTTTTTTCTTCATTGTTTATTGTTATACGGCCAGTATCATGCTCTACCTTGACTTGAATATCTGGAAATTCTGAATGTGAGCTTTCATCTTCCTCCTCAAGTTCGACTTCTACCTCCTCCACATCCTCAAGTTTTTCATTTTCTGTGGTTATGTGATGTTCTCCATGTTCCCGCTCTTCCTCGAAAGTACGCACTTTTCGTTCGCCGCGATGCTTTTCAATGAAACTATCCTCCAATTTGAACAGCAAAGTAAGTCCCATGATGAGATGGCAAGAAGGCAAGAAATTCTTCTTGCCACGAATCATAAAACTACCAGTTCCCAGGTATTCACCTGTTGGCGCAGTCTTGCTTACTTGATCACTACGTACCCAGTAAGCATTTGTCACCACCTTTGCATCCCAAGCAACGCTATATGAAATAGCCATGGTGCCAGCTTCAATAAGAGTTTTGGGGGGAACATCGCCACCGTTTGGATTTCGAACAACAACACTTGACGCACCTTGAATTTCAGCGTGTACATAAATATCTGTGGGACGCATATATCTCTTGACAATAAGTTCGTTTTGCTGGGCATCTCTTCCGCCAATAACCAAATAATTCTCTGAACTTATAAACCAGTAGAATTTCTCAAACCAATATACCTTGCGGGCTTTCGATATTGTCGAAATGGTTCGAACATCTTTGAGTGTTTGTTGGGTTTTCCTTTCGGCTGACTTCAAGGCTTTTTGTGACGCATCAATGGTTTTCTTCTCCTTCTCTGCTGCCGTTCTCTTCAGATCGTAGTATTTGCGTGCATTCGCCCAAGCAGATAAAGCTAAATCGACATCCACTAGCAAGGTGGGCATTGAATTCTCTTCGTCATCCTCAGCACTTCCATAGGGATCACTTAACTTTAATGTTATGTGATTGATTTCAAGTTTCAGTTGTTTGATTGATGCCGCAGTTGGGTCACTTGCTTGGGCAGCTTTGACTAACTCATGAATATCAGGCCAAGACATTTGATTGGCAATAGCTGAACGTATGGCCAATATAGCATTATCAACAAGAACCTGATTGGCAGTAATTAGTTCGGCTTTCTGCTTGTCAACCTCTTGGGCTTTCGTCAAATTTTCCAGACGCTTGGCGTGGTCCAATTTAACATTGGATAATTTTTTCAAAGCCTCCTTCTCTTGTTGCAAAGTTTTTATATCGATTTTCTGTCCTTCGAGAGTAGAGTAAAACTCGTCTACGGCCAACATAAATGTATCGAAAGTGGCCATTGGTTCGCCTTCGTACTGACACAATGGCAGAGGGTGATATTCTATATTTTGATAGAAATGTTCCACTTCAGCTCCCTCTTCGGTTGTTGGCTTCTCCACTTTTCGCTGTACTATGTAGCCCTTACTGACGTTTTGTCGGGCATTTTTCATTATTTCGTAGCCATCCTTCAATGCATCCATAAGTCTTGGTAAATCAGCTTCAATGTCGAATGGTTTGCTATCAGCTTGTTTTGCAGCCTCACGTTTGTTTTTATTTTTCTTCGACTTCTTCTGCTGCTCTCCAGCTTCTTCGCCCTTATCATCCACGCTTCCAATGGACAAATTATCCAATTGATGTTTTTTTAAAATGTGTTCTGCTAAGGCCGGGCCACATTCTATTACGGACATAACCATATTCTTTAAGTTGTGACACGGAGCTGAGGATGATACCATTTCCTTTAATTCCCCATCGCTTGGCAAGGAATTTTCTTTCTTCACTCGACCAATAGGATATATTTCTCGAATGGCAAAACGTTCTTCCCCTTCTTGATGAGAACGCAAAATGTACAAAATTTTCATTTCATGATCAGTCAATATAATATTGCCCCGATCGTAGAGTTCCAATATAATGTGGTATGAGGCTTCCCCGGTTCCGAATACCATATCCACAATACGATCAGTGCCCACCTGCGAAAATTGTTCCAAACGTTTGTTCTTCAAATGTTTTCGCAATTTCATACTGAATCCTGATGGTGCCATATTCTTTGGCCATTCGAATGACGTTGTATGGAAACGTATGCCAGATTCCAGCAGTAACACTTTTTTAGTTTCTCCACCACCTTGAAAACGAATCAGAAACGTTTTGTTATCGATGTCGTAGATTTGGTTGACCCGGAGGCCAACCAAACTCTGGAGTTCGGTTACGCCACATACTATATCGAATGAATTAAATCGTAATTTCATTTCTTTTCCTTCAATCGATACTATAAATAAAAAATACGGACACGACACACGATTCCCAGAAGATACTGGATTGACAATCCACGGTAAAATAATTACTCGACACGCTATTCACTGTAAAATATTATCCCGGCAACGACGGCGTTATCTTCAAAGTTCGACTATGTGCCTTCTTGTTATTGATGTCAGTCCATCTCTATTGTGATTGAAATAAAAGTGTGGTGCAAGACCGGAGAAGAAAAACATTAACATTGGAATTATCTAATTTATTTTTGGATTTTTGTCTACTGAAAAATGTCCTTGTTACCAAATGGAATAAAGGCCACATTCAATAAAGTATGTCAAGCCACAGGTTCATTGATGAAAACGACCGCAACGCCTCTAATCAACGGTACCACAATTGTAACTAGCCGACAACTTTCCTGGGAGGAGAAGAGAGCACGAGGACCATTGGTGCGTCGTTATGGCTATAAAGATCATCTTTTGCAAGGAGGTCTCTTGCCACACTTGGATAATGGTCAGAAATTGCCAATGCCTGTGTATCGTCCCAAAAATCCCTGGACCACAAAACGTGCCCTATTCGGACAGAACGATTACATCGATATACTAGGCAATGATCGCCTACATCCCACAAAGGTTTTGTATTCTGTACCATCCTGGTTACGTGGTGTGTCGGGCAATGAATATCAAGTGTTGTTGCGAAAACGGAAGATACTATCGAAGACAGTTGCCCCCGTGGCACGTCCCACTAAGTGGCGTCAAATGGAAAAACGTATCTTGTATTTGTATAAATTCCTCAATCGTAAAACGAAAACGGGATTCTCCAAACAATAAATGAAAGATGTGCATTGAATGTTAAGTTGATAATTATGAATAAATTTTGTTATTGTTTACAATAATTATATTTATTAATGGATATTTTAATTACGCTGCATAGCATGGTTGTAGGAATAATGAGACAGTACCCAAACGTTAACTTCAAATATTTTCGTTTCCAAGACGGTGGAGTCTTCGATCCAAAACAACCCGACTTTCACTTAACCAAAGACTGTCACCCCATCGCTTTATGTAGGGCTGGCACAACAGCAATCAACTATTTTAGCATCCGGCATGTGTTTTCTTTATACAATTAAATTGTTTATTACTTTTATTATAACATATAGGGTTAAGGATTTCGTCTTAAAGAAATCTTACAAACCGATATATGTATGTCCACAGAAAACTACATTTTTGGCTCAAACGGCGTGGATTTTCGTCTACAGATAAAAATAATTGGATTTCCGCCCGAATGCCGCCTACCATCAGGGTTTAATTGTTCCCAATATGTTAGTATATAACGTCATATTGGCTTCATACTGTCAATAGCTGCTTGAGGAAAATAGAAGGAAATCGCCGAAGTCGGACGGCCCTGCAAGAATCTAATTACTTTTTCTTCAATATCATAAAGGAGAAATCTTTCACCTGACCAAAAAAGCCCAACGAAAATCATCAATAATAAAAAATTTACATTGTTGTACGTTCTAGTACAGACGTTAAGCTCAAACGATTTTCAGTAGTGTTGGCGGTTTATTTGGGATACCATTTGTATTTTGTTTTTGCAAAATAGTCAGGCTGAATCCCAGTTTGTTGTTTTTATAAAAACAACTATTTATTAGTGGGGAATGTATGGCATTGTTTGCCGAGGGGTAAGGCAGGGAAGACTAATAAATAGTTGTTTTTATAAAAACAACAAACTGGGATTCAGCCTGCCTATTTTGCAAAAACAAAATTCAAACGATTTTCTTTACAAAGGCGTTGGGTTTTCGTGCATCTTTCACATTAAGCTTAAGCATTATTTGTTTTAATGTTATTGTACTGTTTTTTCCTATGAGAAGTCATAAAATAAAGAATTTTAATTAATTTAAAAGTGAGAAATGCGCAACTAGAATTGCATAGTGTAAGACAGGACTAACGTTTGCCTTATGAGCACGTTTATACTACGTTACATTATAATAGATTTAGTTAACCCGATGGGTTTCAATTGTCAATTCATTTGCCTATTTGTCAAATAAATACTCATAAAGTAGGTTTAAACGTCATATACATTAGAACTTTTTACCGGGTTAACCTACTTTATGAGGATTTATTTGGCATATATGCAAATGACAATTGAAACCCACTCGACTCGATTTGTTAAACGCGTTACCAAATTCTAGCTGTTTAAACTAGTATTAAAAATATATAAATTTGATTTGTAAGTTTTTATTTGTTTGTTCAATTCGTTATCATAAATGAAAATTTGTTATCAAAGTAGATACTTGCAGTACGGGAACAGACTATATATATTTTCATAAAAATCGATTTATTTTTTATGCGGTAAGTGGAGATAAATTAAGCTCGATTTAGCAATTAAATGGAGGTAATGCACTTAATTCAAATCGGCCTTAATGGCTTCAAACTGCATTTTTTGGAATAAATAAAAGCTGTATTCTAAACGAGTCATTAGTGTTTACACAAAGCAAAAATGCCTACAAACGAAAAAACATTTACGCTATCCATTCATATCAAATGTACACATCAAATAAATTTTCTATATAAAATTTACATTTTTTTGTATTTTCGATATTTATAATTGCAGTACGGGAACAGACTATATATATTTTCATAAAAATCGATTTATTTTTTATGCGGTAAGTGGAGATAAATTAAGCTCGATTTAGCAATTAAATGGAGGTAATGCACTTAATTCAAATCGGCCTTAATGGCTTCAAATTGCATTTTTTGGAATAAATAAATAAAAGCTGTATTCTAAACGAGTCATTAGTGTTTACACAAAGCAAAAATGCCTACAAACGAAAAAACATTTACGCTATCCATTCATATTAAATGTACACATCAAATAAATTTTCTATATAAAATTTACATTTTTTTGTATTTTCGATATTTATAATTGTTTGATTTTTATTATAAACAAGATCAGATAGCTATAAATAATCATGATTTACTTTTATTAACAGAGCACTCTAATACCAAATACAACTCTGCTGTGCAATCAACCCTGTACTACAGCTACAATACAACTTTGATTACCCGCCAAAAATGATTCGCGTGTGTGCATAAACAAACAAACTTCGCAATTTTTGCAACATTTGTCTCCATTCATTGTCATTCGTTTGGTGATTGCAGGCAAATACCGACGCACACCTTTTGGAATAAATTTAATAAATTGTTATTGTTAAGTTTTGTATATTTTGTTGATCTATATAAGAATATTCTGTGAATATGGCTGTAAGTAATGTAGCATTCGAATATTTTGATATAAACTAATTAAGATGTTTCTTTTTCTTAAAGGATTTACCAAGCTCACCACCGCCAGCAACTCCAAGCGATGCTGCCGATAGACGTGATTTGCGCGCTGCTATGACATCTCCTGTGGGCGATTTCGAACCATTTGAAAATGAAGATGAAATTTTGGGAGATCAAACAGTACGCGATGAGGAGGAGGAAGATGGAGAGGAATTGTTTGGGGATAATATGGAAAATGATTATCGTCCAATGCCGGAATTGGATCACTATGATCCCGCTATGTTGGATGATGAAGAGGATTACTCTGAAATGTCGCAAGGTGAACGTTTGGCAGCCGAAGCTGAAATGCGTCGTCGAGATCGTGCCAAAGGCATACACAGAGATGATCGCGATCTGGGCTTCGATCAGAGTGATGATGAGGATGATGTTGGACCGAGGGCTAAAAGAAGAGCTGGTGAAAAAGCTGCAGCCGGTGAGGTAGAAGATCAGGAAATGGTTGAGTCCATTGAAAATTTGGAAGATACAAAAGGTCATTCTACAAAGGAATGGGTTAGCATGTTAGGTCCACGTACTGAAATTGCCAATCGTTTCCAATCTTTCCTGCGTACTTTTGTGGATGAACGAGGTGCTTACACATATCGTGACCGCATTCGTCGTATGTGCGAACAAAACAAATCATCATTTGTTGTGTCCTATACCGATTTGGCCAACAAGGAACATGTGTTGGCCTACTTTTTGCCCGAAGCACCATTTCAAATGTTGGAAATCTTCGATAAGGTTGCAAAAGATATGGTGTTATCAATTTTTCCAACATACGAACGGGTTACCACAGAAATCCACGTCCGCATATCAGAATTGCCCTTAATTGAAGAGTTGAGAACGTTCCGTAAATTGCATTTGAATCAGTTGGTGAGAACACTGGGTGTAGTTACCGCCACAACTGGGGTTTTGCCTCAACTTTCAGTAATTAAATATGATTGCGTTAAGTGTGGTTATGTCCTGGGTCCATTTGTACAGTCACAGAACACAGAAGTAAAACCTGGATCGTGTCCCGAGTGTCAGAGTACTGGGCCATTTTCGGTAAATATTCGTGAATGTCTATATGTTTAAGTTCTTTGATTAACATGGTCATCTTTACAGATTAATATGGAACAAACTTTGTACCGGAACTATCAAAAAATTACACTTCAAGAGTCTCCTGGACGTATTCCAGCTGGTCGTATCCCCCGAAGCAAGGATGTTATTCTATTGGCTGATCTATGTGATCTTTGTAAACCAGGCGATGAATTGGAAGTTACCGGCATTTACACCAATAATTATGATGGTTCTCTGAATACGGATCAGGGCTTCCCAGTTTTTGCCACTGTCATTATAGCCAATCACATTGTCGTTAAAGATTGTAAACAAGTTGTTCAATCGTTGACAGATGAAGATATCGCTACCATTCAGAAATTGAGCAAAGATCCTCGTATAGCAGATCGTATTATTGCTTCGATGGCTCCTTCAATTTATGGCCATGACTACATCAAAAGAGCGTTAGCATTGGCGTTGTTTGGCGGTGAAGCTAAAAATCCGGGAGAGAAGCACAAGATTAGAGGTGATATCAATTTGTTGATATGTGGTGACCCTGGTACTGCAAAATCTCAATTCTTAAAATATACCGAAAAAATTGCTCCACGCGCAGTTTTCACAACTGGCCAAGGTGCCAGTGCTGTGGGTTTAACAGCGTACGTTAGGCGCAATCCCATCTCAAAGGAATGGACATTAGAAGCAGGTGCATTAGTGTTGGCCGATCAAGGTGTCTGTCTTATTGATGAATTTGACAAAATGAACGATCAGGATCGTACTTCTATTCACGAAGCTATGGAACAACAGTCTATATCTATATCCAAGGCTGGTATAGTAACCTCGCTACAAGCTAGATGTACTGTTATTGCTGCTGCTAATCCCATTGGCGGTCGTTATGATCCATCCATGACATTTTCGGAAAATGTTAACTTGTCGGAACCAATTTTGTCTCGTTTTGATGTATTGTGTGTAGTCAAAGACGAATTCGATCCCATGCAAGATCAGCATTTGGCTAAATTCGTTGTCAACTCACATATCAAACACCATCCATCAAGTGAGACAGACGTAGAGGATTCACAGCAGCAGAATATTAGTGAAATTCCACAGGAACTTTTAAGGCAATATATTGTATATTCCAAGGAGAATATTAGGCCTAAAATTTCGGTAAGTAATGGACACATTGATGATTGTGATTTATTTTAAATTTTACTATACCTTACAGAATATTGATGAGGATAAAATTGCCAAAATGTATTCTCAATTGCGTCAAGAGTCCTTTGCTACCGGTTCACTACCCATTACTGTGAGACACATTGAGAGTGTTATTCGTATGGCTGAAGCCCATGCCCGAATGCATTTACGAGAAACTGTTACGGAGGCTGATGTTAGTATGGCCATACGTATGATGTTGGAATCATTTATCGAAGCTCAAAAATTCAGTGTCATGAAGAAAATGCGAGCAACTTTCCAAAAATATTTGGCCTTCCAGAAGGACCATTCCGAACTACTATTCTTTATATTGCGTCAACTCACATTGGATCAGTTGGCCTATATTCGCTGCAAAGATGGTCCATCTGCTACACACGTTGAAATTATGGAACGTGATTTAATGGAACGTGCCAAACAATTGGACATCTTCAATTTGAAACCTTTCTATGATTCGGAAATCTTTAAACAGAATGGATTTTCATATGATCCTAAGAGACGTATCATTTTGCAGATTGTTCAAGAAGCGGCAGTCTAAAGCGAAGAATATAAATTTGTTATCAATATAAGTTACAAAGTGGGTTTGTACCACACATACTTAAGCTCAGTGTAGGTTTCATCAAAATTTGTTTACTCTTAATTCATTTATGTTTTTATTATATCATTTTTTATGATGTTTTTTTACATATATTCATTATTTAGTATAGAAATTGGCCAAATCAAATCGAATAAAATATATATTAAAGGAATAAGTTTGTAGTTGAAGTTTGTTTTTTTTTTCACACTTGAAGATTCTTTAGACCAAATTCGTTTCAGACAATTTAGAGTCGATTTACAAATGTCCGCCTGTCTGGCTGGTGCGAACGCACTTCCCATGATGTAACATTAATTTTCAGCAAAATTTTCGTGGGGAGGTAATAGAAGTTATCCTGGTATTTTAGTTTATTGAAAACAACTCCAACTTCGAATATTTTTTCTTGCATTTTATTGACGCACATAAAAACTACAATATTTCACGAATGCAATAGTGAAAGTTTCATCCAAATATCTGCATTCATCGCCGAGTTATGGTCATTTGAAATTGACCATTTGTCAAAATATAGCTGCTACACGATTCTGTTCGCCTATTACTTGCAAATCGAAAACTGAAGAAATTGCAATTCCACAAAAACAGATAAATGCTGGATGTGTTGCCACATTGCTTCCTGCATTGCGAAACGCCTAAAAGTATGCTCACTATTATGCAAACTAACATGGAAACACAAAGTAAACAATCTGGCAACACATCTGTATTTTTCTGTTTTTGTGGAATTGCAATTTCTTTAGTTTTCCCATTTGTCGTACTAGGCAAACAGAATCGTGTAGCAGCTATATTTTGACACATGGTCAATTTCAAATGGCCATAATTCGATGATGAATGGAGATATTTACTATTGGATAGAGGGAGTGATGTAGTTTTGATGTGCATCAATAAAATAAAAGAAAACTTATTTTAATTTGTCATTTCTTTAAATTTTTACTAAAAATACCATAGGCAAGATTATTGAAGGAAATTTTTATGTACCGATAAAGTGGAGATTTTTTATTATATTTATATATTTATCCAAGTTTTTTTTATAGAGCAGAGGTTATTTAAAGAATGTTTTTTCAACTACTAATATAACGTAAATGTTTTAATGAATATTTTTTAAGTACCAATAGAGCATGAAATAATAAGTTTTGTGTACCGATAGTGTGGAAACATTTTAAAGAATACTCAATAAAAAACTCAGTCTTCTTGAAAACAATTTATTTTTTTTCTAAAAATAGATTTTGTACTGTATATATGTTTTATTACTTATAAATAGGTACATGTATATACACGGCACAATAATTTTCTTCAATCGTCTTCTAAACCCATTTCCTTATTAAAATCTTCTTCGGAAATTTTATTTTTCTTCAGTTTCTTGAACAGACGTAAATCATTGGCCAATTCGTCCAGATCCTCTTGTGTATATTGTGGCTTGCGTTTTTTTGCCTTTGATCCATTAGCTGCTTCATCCGCCTTTTTACGCTGTTTCTTTGCCTTTCGTAACTCCTTTTTAGTTTTAGCATCCATTTTAGCTTTTTTAGTTAGTTCCCAAGATTCGGTTGCTTTTTTGTACTTCTTTTTACCCGGCCATTGTCCGGTTTCTTCGTATGTCTTTACTTTCTCCAAACGTGCCATTTCTTTTTGAGCATTTTTATATTTCAACTTTGTGATGTCCACTTCAAAAGTGGGCCCAATAAAGTTGTCAGATTTCAATGTTTTAAGTTCTGGCATTCGTGGCATTTGTAGTAATCCATAGCCTGTTGCAGCTTTACCCAAATCTACATCCTTTAAACGTAGAATTGCATTACACTCGTGTTTACTATATGCCTGGATGTGTGAGACAAACGCCCTTACTGCTTTATCATAAAGACCTTTGTCTGCTGCTTGCAATTTATGGAGCTTATTCAGTGTGGGTTGTAAGTTGTCTCTATTACATGACTCGTCCTCCAATGGTGTTAGTTCAACTTTTTGATTAATTTTTAAAAATGTCACATAAGCATCTTCATTTGGCAGTAGAAATACTAAGGCATTTCCATAATTCTCTTGACGGGCCGTCCTACCGACTCGATGCACAAAACTTGCAGCATTCGATGGTGGATCCCACTGGATTACCCAATCAATTTCGGGTACATCTAAACCACGAGCGAGCACATCTGTACACAGCAGCACGGCTTTATCCTCTTTTCGAAACTTCTCTATAACCTGTTTGCGTTTATTTTTCATCTTACCATGAATACCAAGGATGAGTCGCTCTTTAAGGAATTGTGGCATTACATCGCTCCAATATTCAACACAGGCACAGGTGGGAAAGAATATCATTATTTTACTATTTTTGGCACGTGGCGATTTAAGGAAATTCAAGAGTTCAATAAATTTTTCATCACCTTCGACTATTTTGTAGAAATTTTGCAAACGAACTGGAGTGTTAATGGTCGATTTTTCTTTAACTGAAACCAAAACAGGATTACGGAGACCAGCTCTAATGAGATCTGTTACTTCAGTGGTTTGTGTGGCCGAAAAGAGTCCAGTACGTCTTTGGCGTGGTAAATAGGCTAGTATATTGTTAATGGTGGCCTTAAATCCCAAATCTAACAAACGATCTGCTTCATCCAAAACCAATAATTCCTGAAATTACAGTTAGGATTAGAAAGACAATTAACATGGGGGTTCTTTGCTTACCAAACTTTTAACTCGTGCCGCTAGATTCAAATTGCTTTTACGCTGAAACAAGTCTTCCAATCGACCCGGTGTACACACCAATATGTTGGGTCCATTTGCAATCAATGATTTGATATCATCTTCAATGGAATTGCCACCAACAATCAATTGTTGTCGCATAAATGCTAATTTCTCATGTTGTAAAAAGCGTTCTAGGACTTCTGATATCTGCATGGCTAATTCGCGGGTGGGAGATATAATCAATGCACCAATTTCTTTGGGTGACCATGGTGTGTCATTGTGTCGCCTTTGTAGCATTTCCAAAAGCGGTACAATAAATGCCAACGTTTTTCCTGAACCCGTTACGGCTTCAGCAGAGACATCTTTGCGGGCTAATAATAGAGGAATTGTTGCTGTCTAATCGGGATGGGAAAGTCGAGTGATATTTTTTATTGAATTATAAATGGGAATGGAGTTTCTAACAAACCTGTACGGGAGTCATTAGTTCAAATTTCATATCCTGTATAACCTCTAACACGGGTTCCGATAGAGGCGGTTTGTCCAACGAAGTCCATTTTTTGCGAGACATTGTAATTTGTGCTCGTTTTTTAAATAAAATCTGATTTTTCTTTTTTATGTTGGTGATCCGTTTGTTTTGTTTTGATTTTTACACGTGAAACCAAAAGAACACACCAAAGCGGAACAATTTTTTTTGACGGCGGCATTGGACAGAAAAAATCTTATAAAAGGGTGTTTATATGCAGCAATATAATATAATAGTAAGTGGGTTCACACTAAAATATGATATGGATTGTTTTCAATTATTTATTAAAAAAATACTTTGTATATGAGCTGAACATATTTTTTAGAGATGGTTATTTAATAAAACCTCGATAATTTATGTACTAATTATTAGCAATTTATATTACTATTATTATTAAGGTATACTTGAGAAGGGAAATACTTGACAAAAAACTTCATAAAAACGACACGAAAATAATACATTTATAAAATTAGGATATTTTTTAATAATATCGACGGAGTTGTATCAGTTGAAAAATTAGTAGATGTCCGTTACAGTGGAGATATACCTCGTACTGACAAAAAACTTCATAAAAACGACACGAAAATAATACATTTATAAAATTAGGATATTTTTTAATAATATCGACGGAGTTATATCAGTTGAAAAATTAGTAGATGTCCGTTACAGTGGAGATATACCTCGTACTGCATCCAATTTTCACACATAAATATATTCTTTAACAAATATAAATATATTGTTGAAAATGCTGCTCTGTATTCCCTGTGGTATATGTGGACCTTAAAACCAACCTTATAAATTTAATTCAATTATAAATATATGTCCTGATTTATATTAGGCGAGTTTACTTGCGGCAATTTTTATCGTTCTCTTTTGAACTTGCTCCATGCGTCTATACAAGGCAATTCGGTTTCCAAAATATTTTTTTATTTGTTGTTTTTTTCACATTTAAATATAAATAAAATGTCAACAAATACGAAAAACACAAAACGAATTGCCAGAAAATTGTCGGTACGAGCAATTTTTTTTCATTTCTATACCCCTTGCCCCTCTCTCCTACAAACAAAGACTTGCCGCAAGTAAACTCGCCTAATCTAAATCAAGACTATCATTGATAAGAGAAAACATATTATATTCCATGGTAATAAAAAATTGAATTCGAGCATAACTCGGTTATTATTTCTTCGCTTATATTAATTTCTTTCATTTTTAAGACTCAGTCTGAGATTTTTTGGATAATTATAAGTCTTTAATTTAGACAATAAAAATATTGTATTCATATTCAATACGTTGGTGTTCAAAATGAATATAATTTTTTCCATTATTTTACTTCTGAAAAGTGCATTAAAAATTCCGCCAATTACGTAAAAATAGATTGGTAAATTATAAAAGCAGCTAGGTGCCGGATACCGGTGTACTGACTTAACTGCACGCAACATGTAATTTTCTGTACTTGTATTTTTGTTTTTTTTTTTTATCCAAAGGACTTGGCAAATAATACTTCCTTCAAGGGTGGTGGTTAAATATACTGTATGTATGTAAACTGTCTGTAACTATAGTAACTTCTTTGAATAAATTAGATATTGAAAACACATAGAAAGGGTGTTCTTAGTAAGGAGCAAAGAGATGATAATAAATTATAAATAGAGCTTATAAAATATCTCAGGAGGACTTTGGGGTGGCACGTTACATAAAGTAATACTGTGGAGTTTAAAAAAAACTAATGTTCTTGTAACGTTTCAAGTAAAACATAAGTTATATTATTGTAGATCCTATATTTATCTAAAACATTTCATTTTCAACATATAATATTCTAAGCTTTTTCCTCGTTCATTTTTTTTATTATTTAAAACTCCATCACTCTTTTACACAAAAGTGAAACTGCAATTACCCTTTTGTACATGTGTTTTTTTACTACACATTTACATAAATATGTCTGGGCAATAACGTGATTCGTACAGAACCGTGCAAGGTGAATTTAGTTTTATTACGTTTGTTGTTGTTGTTATTGTACATTAAAGGAAGTAGTTGTAGTTAGGCAAAAACACATTTAGTTATTAAAAGGAGTTAAAGGACAACGGTTGTGCAAAATAATAAAATACAAGATATTCTGTATAAAGAAAAAAAATCGAAAATTCATTTCTGATAGTTACTTTAAATATTGAATTATACTCCAAAACTATAATGAGCTTCCAAATTGTGTTTTTGAGCGTTTTAACGGGTTCTATTTTAAATTTGAACTATGTCGTCGTTTGCCATGATCGCGATAAGCATTATAATGAAACCACCATATTCACCTTCCAAGATGTTAAATATTGTGCTAAAAATGAATTTTTTGATATGAATTATTTTCGCTGTGTCCCCTGCAATATATTGGGAGAAAATTTACAACCTACCGTGGATAGTAAGTAATATTGTGTAAGCGTTTTAATTAGTCTTTGTCGTTTTAGAAGGGGTGGGTGTGTGAATTTCAATTGATATTTATATTTAATGTCATACAAGGAAAAAAAAATATATATTAGGGTGGAATAGAGTACAGCTAAAATATATAAAAATTTCAATAATATATTTTTCTCTAGCAATAATACTAAAAAATGTAAAGATATTTCGGAGAACTCAAACTAAAGTAAAACAACATCCTCAAACACCTTTTTAGAATTTATATGAGCTCGTTCTTCGATAACGATACTCTATTAATAAGCTAATAACATCCATTTATTTTCTGCTTCTTTTTTAGAATTTACATGCTCATGCAGAATGTCAAATCTCTCACCGACGGTAACAACAATTTACGATACTGTCAAGGCATATCGAACTTGTGGAAATATTTGCAATGACACCCATAGCTCGAAACCCACCAAAAATGTCACTGTACTGCGACCACAATATTGCCAAACTAATCAGGAAATGCTTCCAAAACTGCAATGCAAATATAAATATGTAAATCGTACCCGAACTGCGGCAGCGGTGGATTTTTCCAAATCTATTGAAGTCGCTAATATCAATTGGCAATATGATGGCCTATGCGATAAATGTGATCTGGAGTACAATTTCCAATACCAGGGCTATTGTATAGCAAATGGTCTGTTAAGACCATTCCTAAACTATAATTCCTTTTGGCAGGCGACCCGACAACATTTTGGTGATTTGAAATTTGTTGCATTCTTTTGCATGGCTTTAAATAATTATACAGCCTGCAATCATTTGGCGAATTTGTGTATTTTGTCATTTTATTCATTCGATAAAAATTCGCCATGTAGTAAATTCCTTTTATCACAAGCATCGGATGTAGTTTATCGCTATGGCGGAGCTGATGAACAAATGTCGCATCAACAAATTAAACCATTTTTGTATTATCGCAAAGGCAAAGAAATGGCTAAGGAACTGAGGGAGCCCATTAGGGATATACGTTTTAGTTTGGACGAGAAAATCGAGGTAAGTGAAATTAATTGAAAAAATATTTATTTATATTTTTGAAAGTAAACGAAATTTTTGGTAGAGAGGTTAGATGAATTATAAAGTTTGTACATTGGTCGTTTTTTCTTTTCTATTCTTTTTCAGAACAATCGTATACATTTGTTCAGTGTTCAATATGCCCTGGATGGTAGTCTACAGAGATGGGGAAAATTGCGACTTCAAGACTTACTCGTATGTCCTTTTTACAAAAATGAAATGGTGCTGAGGGAAAATGCCATTAGATTTGCTCACAAATACGATGTCATAGAGTGTGATCTCACCTTGGAACATATGTTGGATATGGCCAAAATGCATGGCAATCAGCGATTTATGGGTTTATTTTTAAATTATTCAAGAGTTGATGAACCGGATAAAATGATATTGCACGCAATACCAATATTGATTGAAGATATAACACTGGAAAATAAGGTAAGGCCAAACATAAAGATGATGAAACAAATATTTTTATATACAATAAACCTCTATATTGCTATATACGATCTATAAATCAATACTGGAGCAAGTAGTCAATACATTTACTCCTCATGAAAATAGTAGTTTAAATGTTGTTTTGTTGTTATGCACATATCTAATCTTCAATCCTTTCAGCGCCCCCAAAAAGAAGATTGGCAATTGGTGAAACGTTTTCAAATGATTGAAACACACGCACGTCACGGTTCCATTACATCAAAAATATCTCCAACCTATGAAGATGTCCACAATCTGTTACTCTATCGTTCATTGCGTTATGTTGAACGTCTGGAAATACACTATGATATTTACGATGATAATCGTATATCTATACCGATTGTGAAATTACGATATCGTCATATTGAATTCACCAACAATACCACATTGGATATGCCTTTGAAATTCCAATTTATTATTAGCCATCAACGTATTGAATTGGATGGCGCTGGTAGTAGCGGAGAGTTGGTTAATGAAATTATGTTACCATTGCTCCTGATTTTGGCTGTGATTGGTGCCCTCATACGTGCTCGCAATACCCGCCAAAGACGTTGTTTGTCAACGGCAACTAATAGTGAAGATTTTTGTCATTTTGCTTATTTTACAGAGTTCCTTTTGCATTTAATATCCTATATGGCTATTGTTTTTCTGTTGTGTTTTCTTTTGTGCATTGCCATTAATTCTTTGACGTATTTGACCCAGACTACCGTGGAATTGACAGTGCCAATTGTCAAAGATCAGCGTTCATTGGAGATTATAATTTATGCTGCTTTGGTTTTAAAGGTTTGTACGAAAATGTATCATTACAATTTATTGAAGAGTTTAATCTCTCTCTCTCTTTTACAGTTGATATTTGTTTTTATCTACTTTTGGCGTTTATCACACTTCAACATCTTCTTCATTGACTGGGAACGTCCCCGATGTGGTGATACAAATCACTACAATTTGAAAAATAATCTTGAAACTTCTTCCGTTTGTTCGAGTGTGCGCACCTATGTGAGTGAAACGAATGTCTCGGCATGGCGTAGTATTTTCCTGGCCAATGAATGGATATATTTATGTGGCAAACAAAAAACATCGACATTGATGCAAAGCATTGTCACATATGTTATAATAAAGGTAATATTTACAAATATTCCAATTTGAATAATATTATTTTAAATAATAACAAAAAATAATTTTTAGATCTTTAATATTTCAAATCGAACACAAAATGACATTACCTTGGAAGTATTTTACATAACACTTATCTATTTATGTGGCTATATACTACAATATGTATTTAAATCGCTGATTTTACAACGCCTATTTGGAAATCGTTTGCAAAAATTTGCCGAACACTGTTCATTGGCAAATATTTCCGTATTTGTATTGTTTGAACCATCCTATGGTTTTTATATACATGGTCGTTCTCCACATGGTTTTGCCGATTCGGATATGACCACAATGATAATGCAGCTGCAGCGAGAGACTCAGAGTATGTGTGGACGTCGTGGTTTACTTAGTGACACCGATCAGTGTTACATTATAATGCCACCTAGAAATCTAAACAATTATTTTGATAAACTGTTGCTGCCATATCAACGATCCTTTACTGTCACCGCTAGTGGAGGAGGAAATACAACAAATTATCCAAAGAAATTGAATACAATAGAAGGTTCGCTAGAGAAAACATCGATTGCGTTCAGCAGTGTGAATCGTTTCTTTTGTGCTTTCATTGATCATGTGAGTATTTCAAGGGAAAAAAGCTTATACAGGAATAAAATAATTTCATTTATTATATTTGCAGGGCATTAAGGACATGGATTATATTATCAAGGAAAAAACTTTTCTGGAAAATCTTCTCAATTGCGAATTTGATAATTATTTAACCGATCGTAAGTAAATATTTTACAACAAAGGTGATTTTAGTGAATGATATCTTATTTCTTTTACAGACAAAGGAACATTCTACATTGATAAAAATCTATCGTTTAGTCAAATGTTTCTCTATGGCAACGAATTACAAATATTTGTTGTGCAATTTTTATTGTTCTTGTCAGTGTATTTAATGTTTCGCTCATTATTAATTGCTACAATAATAATTTATTTTTTTAATAAGGTAATAACACGAACAGTTTCGTTTAATACACATTATATTTTATTGCAAACTAATACCATTTGATTCTTTACTATCATTTCAGATATTTCAAATGCTATTTGTTGGTTCCATTAAGGAAAATGTCTCCAATAAAACATTAATTGATAAAAGATTTTTAATATAAACAATTTAATTAATATTTCTGTTTGCATTTTTTGTGTGTGTTCATTAATTAATAAAACATATTAATATTTTTTATTAATTTTAATTTCTAATATCTATTTTTATTACAACTGAAAATAATTTTAAATGTGGAAATATGGGTAGTAAAAAGATTTAAACATGAAAAAATACAGGAGAATTTGAAGTACTATGAATTCCAAGTATCCTCAAACTTGATTTGGAATGCCGTTCTGCGATTAAGAACTTCAGAGGTATAGCCACAGACTTTTTCTGAAGTTCAAAGATGATCCCTTTTGGCTAATTCGCTTGACTTTTCCATTCCCTCAAAGTCAATTAGTGTGAACTACTGTAAGACCGACCCCAAGACGACTTTATTTCTCTGCTTCATAATTTTCCACTAATATCTCCACAACTCATTTTCGAGACGTATAGTCAAAAAAAAAAGCCCATTGAAAATATTTTTGAAAAATAAAACACAATTTTGCTTTGTTTCATTACATGTAATACGAAGTTTATTTATAAGATAATATGTATATGCATTTTATTTATTATTTTTGTAATTTTGCTGTCGCTTTATTATTATTAATATTTTGTTTTGTTGTTTTTATTTTAGATAAAATTATTAAATACATTTTACAAACTTATCATCAATCAGCTTTACTTTTTGTTGTGGTAATATTAAAACAAATTAAATTATAATAAAAACAACTCAAAATGATATCAGGCGATAGATGTTGAAATCCAAGTAATATAGAGAAGAAATCATACCAACATTATAAACATGATTCAGGGAAGATATATGTAATAATTTAATTGTGTTGAATTGTGATACATACAATTTAGTTCAAAATTGTATAACTACAGTTTTGTTATTTATTTGGTAATAATTTAAAAAGAGTGGAAGGGTTTTAGTTTGTTATGAATTTTAGTGAATGGTAATGTTTTTCTTTTCTTTTTTATAATGTTTCCTTGTATAAGATTTCCTTACATCTCTGGTGTTAGTAGTCAAATGTGTTATTGCGATCAGTTGTATAATTTACTTTTGTGGACAACATGTCTTGTCATGTTTTGGAGAAAAAACAATTTATTTTTTTATATTTCAATGATATATTTTTAATGTTCAATGTGAATATTACTACTTTATTTGATGATTTCACTTAAAAATCAAATGTGGTGTTAGTTGTGTTTCAAGTGAAGTTATATTTCTTTATTTCATTGAATTAGATATCATTACGAATGTAGTAGTATATATTATGTATTAATAGTAGATAAATATTAAATTTATCTACTTTTTCTTGCAATTAGTTTTTTAAACTAATGAGTTTCAGATTTTGAGTTTTACTTGTCTTCTGTGGACATTCCTACATAGTTGTTTTTTTAAACTTCTTCCTGCTTATCAATTACACATATCTATAGTTTATTTAATCTATTTAGGAAGTGATCTTATATTAATTTCATGTTTTGTATTTTTTTAATATTTAGTTATATGGTACATACAATAAGAAAATTAAAATGTCTGTATACTAAACACTATATAAAGATAGAGACAGTGTTTGAGTTTTTTTCTAAACTAACTTACTAATATTTATTTTTTTCATTATATTTTATATAATTGTAAGTGTGTATTATATATTATGTTTTCATTATATTTGTTTCTAAAATCTAATGTATTTGTATATGTATTAACTAATTTCCACAATTCTTTTTGTTTTTTATTATTTGAAATATATTTTAATTTCGTTTTTACACAACAACAATACTTTTATACTTTTTGGATTATGTTATCATTACTTTTAGCTTTGCAGCATTCTGCTGGATTTATTTTTAATAATTAAACAACAAAAATATGGAATTGAAATAATTATGTTGGGCATGAAGAGAATGTTTTCATTAGATATGTTTTAATGTGAGTGTGTGTGAGGGGTTTGAAGAAAATAAATACAAAAATATGTAAATTTCAAATGAGTTTTGTTTCAGTGTTCCCGGGAAACGTTGGCATTTAACACATTCATATAATAATATCATATTTCATTTTGAAGTTTACAATTGTAAAATATTTCTTGCTAGGTTATAATTCTCAGTTCACAATTTCGTTGGCATTTTATTTAGAGATTCATAAATAGCATCATTCAATGATTTTGCGAAATGTAAGAGTGCGATACATAGATTGTCAAATTAAAAAAGATATTTTTGGAATTTTATTAATGATAAACATTTTAAATAATATTAAAAATTAAATTTGCCAATTTTTTGTAATTTTTTTGGCACAATTATAAACAAGAATATTACAAACCAACGGTCAATATCATAAATCTTTATACCGGCGGTTCAGATAAGATATTGTAATAATATATGTCCCATCTAAAAGAGAAGGGACTATCAATCTTATATTTTTAGTGGGCCATGAATTTGTACCACAATAGTGGGCGAATCCTATTAAAAACCAACTATTCCCCACGATCCACCATAAAATTCTTCATTTAACACTAAAAATTTAATTCAAAGCGAAAAATAACAACATTAAATACAAAAAATTATGAGATTAGATTATTACCTAAAATTCAAAAAAATATAATTCTCTCTGTGTTTTCAAATTGCTGATGGATTAATGTGCAGATAAACTAACATAGATTAGAGTTATTGGTTTATGTTCTTAAAAAATAATGTCTTCTAGCCGTTAGCCGTATACATTGATGATATAAAAAATAAATCATTATTTTTTATAAAGATATTCACGTAAAGGAATTAATGGACAAAAATAATTAATGAGAATAAAATATTATAATTCGTATTTGTTTTGTAATTATTTTGCAAAACTATCACAATAATTATTTAAAAAATATATAAACTTTCAAAGTGACACAAAAAATATAGACTTTGTTAATGAATTGTTGAATGTATTTTTTTATGTATATAAATTAATAAAAATGAATGAAGAATTATGCATACAATAAATACTTTCAATATTTGTATAAATGTTTGCTTTATTTTCTGCTTACAAAAGACTCTTGTATGTATAATTAAAATCCATTATGTTTTGTAGTTAGTTTTCATGTAGTATAACCTTATTATTTAAACGATAACTGGAGTGGTTTAAACTCCTACTGTTTTTGTGGTTTCTATTATTTACACTAATATATAAAATTGTTGCATCATGAATTTGTTCATTAGTATTTTTGAATTTATCGAGTTTGCTTCTATACATTTCCTTTTACGAAGAAGTTAGCTTACTTCAATTTGTTTTTTTTTTTTTTTCAAAATTAAGTTTAACTTTGTGTCTTTGTATCTATATGTGAGTGTCAGATCAGTTGATTTAGAGGGGCAAAAATCTTTTATTTTTTAAATAAAAAACTCTCATCAGCTTAGCTTAAATGTCAATGCCAATTCTCTTATTTCATAAAAAGGGATTTTCGCAATTATTCGAAGATTTGATTTTGTTTTTCAATAGGTATGTTGTTACTTATTAAACGATCGCACATTTTCTTTCTCAATATTCTTTTATTTTGAAATTGTTTACATTCTTGTGCTTTTGTTTTGTCTTTGTATAAAATAACTTCGACTACCACACCTACTTCTTAGCTTTGTGGTTTTCATATTTGTCATTTTATTTTTTCTAGTTTAGTTACTGTTATTTTGCATTCGGCTGCAAATGGGCGTAATGCTATATTTTCTGTAATATTTCCATGAATATATTTAGATTGTCTTCAATAATCTTACCCTATTCGGTCTGTTTACGCGCTCTCTTTGCCGGATTGCACCCATCATCGGTATTGTCATCACCGGAACGATGTAAAGATGCTGTACTGCCATTACTATTCGTATTCATATTAAGTATGGCCGAATTAACACTTTTACGACCGCTGTTGTCTAGCGATGGGGAGGGTGCTCCCGGTGCCGGTGATGCTGATGTAGAAGCAGCATTACTGTTACTACCGCCGCCTCCATTTGTTAGAGGATTTGTTAGCAAAACATTGGAATTGTTGTTGTGATTTTTATTAGCATAACTGGGTAACCATTTCGATAATTGCTCTTCAAAGAAATTCTCCAAATATTTAGCGTTGGTATAGGTTTTGGAATCCTCCTAAAAAACAAATTATCAATATTTTTTAACATGGCTTAAAACTTTACATTCAAAAGAGAAGAAATAAAGCAAAGATTACAAAAACAAATATGTAAAAGTCTGAAATCGATTTTTCTAAAGACTAATCTAAAAATATCTATTGTTCCGATTTAGTGTTATAAGCTCTCGGAATTTCTTTTTCAATGTGGTTGGTGTCTGTTTTGAAGTGTTTGGTATATATAGAGTACAAGGTCGGTTAAGTCGTTGCATTTTGTAAACTTTTGGAAGATCACCCCTTATCAGCCCAATGGTTAAATTTCATATATTTCCCTACCCTAGACTGGAGGGCAATTTTCCACGTTTGTGTATAAAAATTCATGTTCACTCTTTTTCTTTAACATTTTGAACTTCTCACACCCATCTTATATTCATCCCAACAACTGAAAATTCGTATTAAAAATAAAAATGATTTTTGATAGAAATAAAGGAAAGAGAAAAATGAAAAGATGAAAATGTAAGGCAAAATGAAAAAAATGAAACATCATTACCATATTACTCACTTGATAGAATAGGTAAGTATTCTTAAAAATCAAGCGAACATCTGCTATAAATGAAGCAATGTCTTTATAATGATTGGGACTTGATGGATCCAAACGTGTGCGTATAACATCCAAAGACATGGGGCTGTAACAAAAAAGATATATGATGAGATACATAATTAAATCAAATATTAATACTTCCCGGGAGATTTTATCTATTTCACACCTTTTGGAAATGTATTAGCAAATAAGTGTGTTATTTTTCATTTTTTTTAAAGACAATTCCTTACAATAGGTTTTATAGGACATTTTATACTCCCGGGGAAATATTATAGTCATGCTGTAGTATTTCTACTTACTTGCATATAATTTCATAGTATGCCGTATTTGATGGTGGCTCCGGCTCACGGAAATGTAAACTTTGTTCATATTGGCAAAACAGTTCCAAACATATACGTTGCAGTATCTGTAATTCCAAACGGCTCAATTCACCGGCATTCTTTTGCAGATTTTCCGGATTGTTTGCCAACTCTTTTAGATTGACACAGAGTAGACATTGCCAACTTTCGCTTTCGTCGGGAAGCGATGATATAGCAGGAATATGACAATTTTGATGGAAAACTTTGGGGCATTTGTCACAGCACATCAGTTCACCGCCATCCAAGCAAACGGCACACCAATCTTCATTGGGATCATCTTTTTCGGTAGTTTTGGTATTATTATGGACTTTTGATTAGTTATGTGTTTTCATTGATATTTATTTTGGGTATATTTTATATATGATTTTGTTTTTATTTATATGAGGTTAATGGTGGCAACATGGATTTGATTTTTTGGTTTGATTTTACAACAATGAGCGTTAGGTTAATGATTTGGATTTTTTATTTATTATTATTTTCGAGAAAAGAAATAAACAAAGCAAAGTTACAAGTAATTATATAAAAAACTACCAGCAGCTAAAAATTATTACATATTAATTGGTTAATTGTTGAAAAATATTATATTGGAATTTGTCATTAGTAAACACAAAACTGTCTAAACAAAAAGGGGACAGTGTTTTTGCAAAGATAAGGTATTTCTGTAGAGAAAATCTGATGTGTTGTGGGTTAGCAAAAATCATGTAGATGATAGTTATAGAAGGAACATAAAATACTAGAGTGTACGTGTTTATTGTGTGGATCGGGGAGGGTAAAATTGAACTAAATCCATAGGAAGCAAATGTACAACGAAAAAAGTTTGGATACTATTGAAACATACCTTCTTGTGTATTGGATAAATCTGTTGAACTGTGAACTTGTGGCGATGTGGTTTTTGTACGTCCTTCTGGTAGTACCTGAACGCCATTTGAATCCAGTTTGGCAATAGTTGCCATTAAATCATTTATGGAATCATCCCGAACTTTATCAATGGGTTCGGTAAAATCTTTAGGATTCTGTAATCGAAGAGTAAATAATTTTAAATTGATTTTATTTGTCGGGTTAATAAATAAATACTTTTGTAACGCCTACTCTTACCTCATGTGTACTTGGACTTGGTGTCTTGGGATTTGTTGATGTTACATTTGGCAGGATAGAAACGGCTGGACTTAAACCCAACGATGCAGCATTGATTAGAGAATTACCGCCCGAACTTGAACCACTACTGCCGCCGGGCATGCCATGGCCCGGGCCACTAGCTGTTGTGGGAGGTGTTGTATTCTTGAGAGTATTTGGTGATTTTAGAGATATTTTAAAATTTTCATTTTGGCGACCATTGGCAAACCCCATCAAATTAGGACCTTGTTGGGGACAAGCTAAGGAACGAAAATAAGAAAAAAACAACAAAATATTTTATTTGAACAATTAATCAGAAAATTATAATTACCTTGAGCGGATTGAGGTATGTGCCATTTGGCCATGTGTAAACTACCACCACTATTGCCACTTAGTTGAGGCGATGTTTGGGGATGGCCGGGGTTGTAGTTGGGTTGATTTCCGTGAAACCCCATGTTCTGGATAAGTAAGAATTAATATTCAAATTACGTATATAAATATAATGTTACAAAACAGGAGATAATGGAGTTTGCAGTCAAAACTTAATTTCACTTATCCAATATTTTGTTGTACAATAATAAAGAACGTTTATTTCAATTGTATTTAAGTAATTCAAATCGTTCCTAACTCTGACTACAAACTCGTTAATCTTCAATCTATAAATATTCTACAATTAAACTGGTATAATTACATTTTGCATGGGTGAGTGGTGCATTTGTGGCCTTTGCATTGGTCCCGGTGACGGAATTTGTCCGCCACCTGGTCCGCTTGAGGCCATTGCGGCTACAGCCGCTTGTTGTTGTGCATGACTTGACATACGTTGATAGGTTTGAAATCGAGCTGCTGCTGCAGCGGCTGCACTATTGTTCATGAAATTCGGATTACTTGGTCCACCAGGCGGCGTGGGTGGGAAATTCTGCTGATGTTGACCCGGTGGACCTGTCATAAAATGCTGACGCATTTGTGGACCCATTTGCTGATGCGGTGATGGTGCGCCCTGTGGTCCGCCCGGATAACTTGGTGGACCATTGAAAGGTTGCATGTGAGGCGGTTGATTTGGACTCTGAGCAGCTTGATTGTTCAACAAACCACGAAGGCTTATGTCTTAAAAATGTTTAATTAATAAATTGGGGGAAAATTAATAAATTTATATAAAAATTAAATCTGCAAATTTATTTCAATCCTAATATGCTATGTTTCTATATTCCCTTTATAAACTTACCCATATTTTGGGGATGTGTTGATGAACTAACATGGGGTTGTCCTCCTTGCCGTTGCATTGCCAATGTGGGTGGCATTCCGCTATAACGCACTGTTGTTATCATAGTAGGTATTATTGTTGTTGTTATTATTATTGTTGTCAATTAAAATGCAAATGAATAAAACGAGAAAAAGAAAACAGAAATAAATGCAAATATTATTATATAACCAAGAACTATTCTTGTTCGTTTTTACAAAAAAGCAATTTATTTTTTTAATGGAAATAAATACTAAAACGTGTCTTTGTGAACGATTTTTGCCTACCCTTACCTGGCCCGTCTCCAGCAAAGTTGCGATTCATTTGCATATTATGTACATGCTGTTGTTGTGAACTACTACTATACAGGCCAGGGCCATTTTGGGGACCACCAAATGCTCCCGGTGGTGGTCCACCAGGTGATAGGCCTGAGGGTATACCCGGTGGCATACCCGGCCGTAGGGGTGGTGCCATATTTGGGCTGGGTTGCTGTCGCACTTGTTGGGGCGGTGGTGAAGGCTGGGGTGGATATGGTTTGCCATCAACTAGAATGCTGCCAAGTCGGGATATTTCTACAAAGAAACAAAATATATATGGAGGTTAATAGTTTTTTTCAAAAATAATATTGATATTTAATATAATACCTTTTTGCAATTGTTGTATTTGACACATTTGTAAATCAATACGCAATGGTATATCTGGATTGGGTATGTCGGCACGCTGGCATTTAAGCTTTTGCAAATGACGCACTAACGATTTCTTGCTCGACAATATGGCATAATCGCTGCCCTTATCCAAGACATTGTTGATGAACTCAATGCAATAGTCTGTGTTGTCGGATAGCGAGATCAACGAGTCACGTTTGTCGATAAGCAGTTTCAGCTTGCTGTCACACACTTCGTTGAGCCGCATAACCAACTGTTTGCCACGCATATTCACCGTGTTGGTTATGGTCACCACCATGGCGGTTATTTCTTTGATTAACTCCTTCTTCTTGTCCGATATAACCTTTTGCCGTTCGGCAATGACTTGCATGGCGGAGGAGAGCAGGAAACGTTTATAGTTTATTTCGGCCACCATTGAATTTATGGACTGTCTAGTTTCAGTGGCTATCTCATGGGCAAACTTATACTTGTGATCACGATGATCGGAGAGCTGACAATCACGGCAGGTTAGTTTTTCACAGGTTTCACAGTACAGCGAGAGTTTTTCTTGCGGATGCAAGTTGCACATGTGTAATTTATCTACCGCCGAACTGGGCGATTGTTCGCTGTTAGCCTCCTCTTTGGGTTTGATGGTATGATCCTTGGTAATCTTAAGACGTTGATGGGCTTGCACACAACTATCACAAATATATTCGGAACAATCGACACACCACGATGTGGCAATGTTATTATCTGAACAACTGCTACAGGGTATATTGGCTGAGGCTTTACTGCCACCGGACGATTCATTGGCATCGCTAAGCATTTCACCGGCCGTGCAGTGTTCAATGAGGAATTGATTATCAATGATGAATTCATTGTGTGATTCTATATTACACATTGGGCAATGTATGAGCGGTTGCATTGTTCGATCCAATTCGGCAAATTTGGTGCTCATACATTGAGCACAGGTTACGTGTAAACACTCCAGTAATTTGGGTCGATCATTAACGCCCAATGTTTGCGAACAAAATACACATTTGGTGGCGATGGGTTTGGAATTATTCGATGATATTGAATTTGATGTGGATTCCGACTGTAAGATAAAAAGAAAAGAAGGAGATGGTTATTTAAAAAAATAATAATTAAAACAAAATTATATATAAATAAATTTGAATACAATCGAAAATAAATTTAAAAATTACGATCGAAATTGGTGGCTATAATCGATATTTCGTTTTAAAATATACGAAATAAAGGGCACAGCATTTATTGGGACTTTTGGAAACAGTCTTATTACCGATATGTTGTTTTAAACGATGACGTTATAAACAATTATATTTCCTTTGTTTATAGTAATACTAAAGGACGGAGTGTGATTGTTTAAGGGAAATTCCTATGCAGAAGTTGAACTTGTTGAGTGATTTAGCCATGTACTTCTTGGCAAATTTATTTGGTGGTTGGGTACATAAAGATACCGTTCGATATAAGGTATTTTAAATAAATGTAGATGATGATGATAAATTTAAGAAACTTGGGTCAAAGAATTATCATATGTTTAGTATTAAAAGGTGGTAATTCCGGTCCTCACTTGTATATATATATATATATAATATATATGGTTTTTTTACACAATTTCTCACATATATGATTTGAAATCATTTTTCATCATTATCATTTTTAGATGTTTTAGAATAGGCTAGATATAACGCCATAAAACTGTACCTAAATGTTTTGTTTTCCAGATTTACTTGTTCAGATCATTATGTTAGCTTGATATGTGATGTATATATTAGTTTCTGTCCCTGAACTTAATGCGATTTTTATTCACTTCTTTTAGATGATATCATAAACTTTACAGTTACTAATATTTTTTTCTAGAAAATCGTATTTGAACATCTAATCTTATCTTTTTATGGTGAGACCAACTGAGGGAAATTGATTTATTGATGTGAGATAAGAAAACACTTCATATTATTTAATTACTTTTGTTTGTTTTTCTTATCTTATCAAAAGGACTATTCAGAGATAATGGAGTTTACATTTTGCCAAAACCATGAATAATGCGTTGAGGGTGAGCAGCAGGAACATTGGATGATTAATTGCAGCATTGGATATACAATTTTTAACCTAAACTTAATTATAAAATACATGTTTATAGCTCTGAGAGTTTAAAAACAAAACTTGTTAACCCGAATTCAGATTTAAGAAATTTTGTAAAATCCAACATCATTATAATCTCTTTTATTTCTTTATAAAACATTTAGATGACATTAACATTTAATGTACTGAAACAAAATCCTTTTCAAATTGTAAATCATATTTCCAGGATATCTTATAGATCAAAACAAAAAAAAAAGAAAACATTAAAATTTATAACCAGAGGTAGTTGCCCCTTAGCCACAAGACCAAAAGAAAATATATATTCCTCTCTCGCTTGCTAACAATGATATATGGACATTTTCATTTCCTAACATTCCTCCCGAACCCTATCTCTTCCCTTTTACCTTCATCTGGATGGACGACAGGCATCGAGCATGATGAATGACTTGCATGCTGAGACATGGCCAGTGGCATTTGTTTTGGGGGCAAATCTACCAGCTAGCCAGCCAGCAGCAAGCATGCAATCGACGGAGCGGGCGAATACGAATACTTGTATGCAGCCATAGGAAAGCGCAACATCAAACCTTAATAATATCGTATGTACCATTTTTTTGAACTCGAACTCTTCGAACATTTTGGGTTTCCTTTTCTTTGTGGTGGATGTGGGGAGTTTGGAAAACATTCTATCTTTCTTCTAAGATCTGGCCACAGCAGCCATAACAAATGACATGAGAAGTTTGTTTGTATATTTCGATTTTAGTATTATAAATTGTAAAAGTGCAAAAATTTTATATATATTTATGTAAGCAATGTGTGTGTGTGAGTATATGCGTGAGTTACTTTTCAAAATGGATGGTGTCAAATGATTTATGAATCACCAAACACCCAACCAAATAAACACGACTGGTCGGTCGGTCGGTTGGTCTCTCGACCAGGCAATAGTAGGTTGTACTAATGGCATTAGTGTCTGCTGTTCCGTATGGAAGACAGGCGGCAGTACTTGATGTATATGACGATGATGAAAATGAAAAAAAAACTTTCTCTTTCCAAACGAACCCATACATCAATCCTCACATTTTATTTACTTGACGCCGCTCATGGTTCGTTATGGCTTCTCCGTTGGCAGGCCCCACCGTCACTCTCCTTTTATTACATGCAGCTCACACAACGACAGGGACTCACATACAAATACATTGTACAAATTTCGAAATAAGTGATGTGTTAAATGCTACGAATGTTTTGGATAGTTAACTCATGTTTCCTAATTAAATTAGTTTTAATTTTCTATTTTTGCTCATCACCATCATCATCATTGTTGATTTTGTTCATTCCATTGCTAAATACGATTTGTAGCGAAAAATAATAGCATTCTTCTTATGACATGAAAAAAGGCAATTTCAAAATTGCAAATTATTTATTTTAAAATTTATATTTAAAATTATTAGGTTTCTGTATTTCGAACAATAATGCTTATATTTAACATAAAATTAAAAATTAATAGATATTCTGAACGAATAATATTGAAGGCTTATCGTAATTCATATAAAATCGGTGTCCACGTCATAATGATAAATTCATGATTCGTGACCCTCTCAAGGAGATCTGAGTCTAATATATCATAAACAATATCCATGCGAAGAAATACTGGCACAAAAATCAAAGACATAACACGATCAACATTACATCTATAACGAACGTAAAGAACATTAGTATAATAAATAAAAACCTGCACAAGTTCCAAAATTACGAAACTTCGAAAACTGATTCTATAATTTTCCTTTTAGAAAAATCCAACAATAAGTTACACATTTCTCTGGACTTATTAAAAATTCTCGAAATTAAAAACTTAAAAAATATATTGTAAGCAATTAAGATGTATGGATGGATTCAGCTCGTTAGAGCAAAGCAAAATTATGAAATTTCTTATGACAGACAGCTGGTTCATTGAATTAGTATTTTGTCTGCGTAAATGTAAATAATACCTTACAGAGACATATACACGTTTTAAGGTTAAAATCTAGGTCAACATCTGTACACGTTAACAAAAATTAAAAAATTGCTTTTACGTTAATTAGGCATATTGTAAAACTGATTTTCCGAGGTTTGCCGCGTACAAAAATACAAACTTGACAAAAATATTTTTATTATTCTACAAAATATATTAATATCTAAATATAATTAGCTTTTTTACAAAAAAGAAAAAAAATACTAAGGCGTAAAGTTAAATTTTTGCAAAATAATGAAGACTTAGAAATAAGATGGATTAAATTGAGAATTCTTGGAATTTTTACTTGAAATGCCCAGGTCTCATAGAAACAATTTTACGAATATCTAATCAATAATTTCAGTATAAGTTGTAACAATTCATGTCATTGATATTTTACATAACAATTTTTGAACAGGTATTGAATTACAATTGAAATTTATGATTTATTCCAAAAAATGGCTTTTCATTCACATAAATCATATAAAAAGTGCCCCCTAAAAACTGTCACGCAATATGTTGTGTTAAATGCACACACACACACACACACACAAACGTCGTATAAAATTTCAACTAAATGGACATTTATATTTGGGGACTCTGTACCAACAAAATGTTGCACAGCTGTGACGACTACTAACATTAGTCGTCGTTGAGTCGTCATTTCGAACATTGAAACATAGCAGAGACGTGAAATGTGTCAGCGAAATGACACTGATGGATATGAGTGACAGATGGTTGCAACAAACACTCTCTCTCTCTCCGTTACTCTCAGCATCACCAGCTGATAACAGCATAAATGACATAGAAAAAATGTTTAATAATAAAATTTTTGAAATTTAATAAACATCAATCGAATCCAATTAGGCAAATTTATTTGTACAAATATTAAAACGTTTCTTGTTAGTCTTAATTTTGGAAATGTTATTAAAAAATGGAAATTATAAAATAAAAAAATAAACTTATTTATATTTTGAAATATTGGCCTTCTTTAAAAATGAATGGATATGACAGAAAAATTGAATTAGTTTTCGAACATTTTCGTGCCATATTTTTCAACAACTTTGAGCGTGGACCATTACGAGGTGAGTGCATTGATGAACTTACATATTTGTAAGACGATTAAGCATCATCGTTTAGTCCTGTGAAAAACTAATTTAATCATGGCAACGCTCGCTCAATGGCGAAGTGATAATGCAAGATCGTCATGTGGAATGGAGCATTCTGGGACACTTCCTCCAACAACATTTTACATGAAAATGGACTGATCTCATTGTATTCAACACAATTAGACAATCAGACAAAAATAGGCTCGTGTCAATCAGATTTGAATCCCGTGTGATGATTCGAAAAACGTTTATAAGACCGTCACAGGTAAGGCATACAGAATCGAATCGTATGAACCTGAAACAAAACAACAATTGAAAGAAATCGAAAAAGCAATTCGATGCAAATGGTCGCTTTTTTCTTTCGCTGGAATTATTAAGATCTATTAGATGCCATTCAGTATTTCGATGATTTTTCATTAAGTTGTCGATGGAAAAACATACAATTAAACATGTTTCTGATTGATCCAGCCGGTAGTTATATGCTTGTCTCAAAGATTAAGCCATGCGTGTCTAAGTACACAGGAATTAACAGTGAAACCACAAAAGGCTCATTATATCAGTTATGGTTCCTTAGATCGTTAACAGTTTCTTGAATAACTGTGGTAATTCTAGAGCTAATACATGCATTTCAAACATTTCATTAGTCTAAAACCAAACAGTCTTTGATCGTTTATATGATTGAACTCTAGATAACTTGCAGATCGTATGGTCTCGTACCGACGACAAATCTTTCAAATGTCTGCCCTATCAACTTTTGATGGCAGTATCTAGGACTACCATGGTTGCAACGGGGAATCAGGGTTCGATCCCGGAGAGGGAGCCTTCAAAACGGCAACCACATCTAAGGAAGGCAGCAGACGCGTAAATTACCCACACCCAGCTCGGGTGTGGGTAGTGACG